TACTGACTGATCAGATCTCCAAGTAGAAAAAAAAAACCTTTTAACTTTTTTAACCATTATCTCTGTCTTGTGTTATCCATATCAGTGCATTTTAATGGCTGTCTCTCAGCTCTCAAGACGCTTAATACGTTTCTCCTTGCATTGTATCGCAGCTAAAATATGACCTGCTTCTGCTTAAATAATGTAATTTAATGATTTCACATTTTCAGCCACACAAGGCTTTCCTTTAGCACTGAAGTCTTCCACTAATGATTTGGGGAGATAGTTTGTTCTCTTTTCTTTCAAAACTCAAGACTGAAAAACTCTGACTTGGAAATAAATTATTGACATGACTTTAGAAACAGTACAGTTTGTGGTGGGAATAAAACACACAAAATTTGCAGCTTGTTGATTCCTTTTGAGGTTCAAGTACCATCCAAGCTCCATAATAGTGGAGAAGCCTAAAACACTCTTAGCAGAGAGATTCCCAAATTGTTATCCACAGAGTGAGAGTAGCTAGAGGTGAGCTGGAAGACCACATGGTGGTAGCTTTGGGGGGTTGGTTTGGGGTTTTTTTTGTTTTGTTTTGTTTTTGTTTGTTTGCTTGTTTTCTATTTCTAACATGTATGCCATACTAAGAGTATAGCTAAAACACTTTAACTTGCTAATTAAAACCACTTCGGTGGTCATTCAAGTGAATAAAAGGACAGGATAAACCTTTAACAACCCCCCATCACCAGAATAGATTCCCCATTCTCTGTGATTTCAACATGCATGCAAGAGGCCAAAAACCTACATTAAGAAAACAATATAGAATAAACTCAGCCCCATAACAATTATCTACCTGTTTAGATATACAGAAATCTTATACTTGCATAGAAAAAGCAGATGGGCTTAACAAAATAATGCCTTTCCATAAAATCACCTTACTGAATAATATCACAATGTATTTCTGATATACTGAACACTGCATTAAGTAGCTATTAATCCCTTGAGGAGATGCTTGAGAAGGATAGCTAAAACGAAGAGAGAAAGAATGCCTCCCTCCAAAAAACTTGAAAGAAATGTGACCTGCAAAAGGAGCTGCAAAGACTGAAATTGTTCAGTTGAGAGAAAAGTTTGCCCAAAACTGAAAGAAAAATATTGATGAATACCTGTTTGGATGATAAAAGGAAAACTGGCAGAATGTTTTTTATATTAGTCAACAAAAATGCATGAAGAAGCAATGGACTCAGAGTGGAAATGGAGACGGTCGGACTGTAAGTGCATTGCCTTGTAGGCCACCTGTCTCATTTTCTCCCTTCCCACAAGTTCATAGCTGTTGATGTGACCCCTCCAATTTTTTTTTCTGTTTAGAAAAACACTCCTGTGTTCCAGGTGTAAGAAATGGTTAAGGGACAACAGGTTTGTAATTGTGTCTGGAAACAGGGACAACAGTTTCTTTGGATGGTGTTTAAAATAATATGTCCAGCACTTTAGTGGATTCCAGTAAAAAGTTATGGTTGTTGATTTTAACATTTTGTTCAAAGGCCTGCTAGTAGAAAGCCCAAGTTCCATAGGTAAATCTGTGTTATGTTCAGAGAAGTTTGCTTATGCTAAAGCAGATGGCTCCATTCTGCTACAAGCCCTTGGCATCTCCGTAAATTTTATTCTTGTCACATTTCTTGCGCATATTAAATTTGCTTAATATGAGCCAGTAAAGATGTATTTTTGTGCAAGTATTCATCTTCCTTCTTCTATTCACAAGCATTTGACTTATTTGCTCAGGGAACAGAAATGGTATAGCAGTGTGTGTGACAAACGACATAGAGCAATGAACAGAGAATAATCAAACATATATCAAGAGAAATAGTTTTCAAAGAAGCTTAGGGTCTAAACCTATCTTCACTTACAGCAACAAAACTCCTATTGACTTAGTGGTGAATCAAGACTGTATAGCAACTGAACAATTTAACATAAATAAATGTGAAAAAAAGACTTTCTTATAAGTAATTGACAATGGAGGAGTAGGTAATTTCACTGAATAGGTTATACTGTTGTGAGTTATTTCCATATCATTAATCTCTCGATTTTATCTATGTCTTTAATTTTTAAAGGAATTTTTGTTTTATCTTGTTTCAAATACTATTTCTCTGCTACAATTCTTATCAGTGAATGCTTTATATTTTCTTGCCACAAGCAAGAATCTTCATTGTTTTCTCCAATCACCTTCTGTTCCCATGACTCAGAACCAGATCTGAAAGTCTCTAAGAAGAAAACCACTGTTCAGCAGCTATGTGGATCACATCAAATTTGGTCAGGTTACTCCCCTAATGAACATTTAGTATGAATTCAAGTATGTTATTGGATCAGAACTTTTCTGAAGTTCTGGCCCATTGTTCAAGAAGTCTTCAGGGAGTCTTTTGAGTTACCCGGCTTGGGTAGTTTGGGATGAGGTGGTTGAGAAGTTAAATGACGAGAGAAGAACAAAACCAGAAAAGACTCAGCTTGGATATCTGTGTTTGACTGCTCTGGGAATTTAGGGGCAGCAGAAACAACAACAGCGAGAGTAGAGAAGATGGGTCACAAAACAACATGAAAACACGTTCCCAGTGATTTAGATTGGCCATAGTACGGTGAAGTTTAAGGGAGCTGGAAGTTGAGGAATTTGGTTTGATTTCTCCCAAAGGGCATGAATTACCAAAACTGTGTTGCTGCAAAGGCTTCTGAGTATACCTATAAAAACGCTGGCTATAAAACACATATTCTGTGATTATCCTGAGAGCAGAGACCAACCACGTTCAGCAGAGTTAATGATTCTACACAGCAAAAACGTCTCTGGCAGCACAGCACTCTCATCTGGCTCTCACTTTCACTTACACGAGCCTAGGTTAACAGGCCTTACAGGAAGCAACCAAAGCATACAGCATCATTAAGGGCTCTTAAGTGCTACCTTGACAAAGTCACTACATTTCCTTGCCTACCCACCTCCACCTAAAGTGGGCAATGGGACTTGTACTGCAAGTGTAAAGAGGCACACAGGTGGAGGGTGTAGAGAAGCAGCTGGCTGAATTCATGGCTCCTTTTCTGTTCAGGTATTTTAAGGATGACATGATTGCCTCCGTGGAAGGGGAACTGCACCTGGTGATCCAACAAGTACCTATTTGATCCTACACTTCTGCACACAATTAAGAATTATAGAGGAAGACTTTTCAACCAGGTCATTGCTTGCAAAACTTATTTGGCAGTGGAGTCACTCCTTTTAGCCAAGAACTAGATACCCATGGCTAAACTAAAGAGCAAAGGTTGTCTGGCTTAATCCCTACTCTCCAGCTCCGCAACACAGGGCAAATTAATGACGTAAGAACTGTACAAGCTTATGTTTATTTATAATACCCCATACACAGGCAACCATAACCTGGAACACTCCAGAGTGGAAAGATACGTTTTTATAATGCCTGCTTCCTCATTAAGATTTCATCACCCACCTACGCTAAAAAGGCACTTCCCCTACACTTTGTTATGTCTGCTTTTACCCGCTCCTGTTCCTGCATTATTTTTTTAATCTCCAGATCCCTACTTTACATGCACTCTCAAATTTTAAACAAGCAAAATTTGTGCATTAGTGTGTCCTTTTCATCTATGATTTATGAATGACAGGTTCTTTGGGGCAGCTTAATGGTATGAGAGAGACATTATTTTAAACATTAAAGTGAAAACCATTTACAACTATGATGAGAGGTCTGTTGGCATTAAACTTTAAAACATGCACAAGGTAAAGGCAAGTAGCTGTGCCAACAGGTAAGAGTACTATGCATATGGTTTGTATAGAGTTTGTTCTACACATTTGTTGTCTCTTCCTTTCCCCTGTTTCACAACCTGTACAGTAAGGTGCTTCAAACAATTCATTAAGTCATGGGCAGCAGCCAGAGTTTAATCACCTAGAAAGTACTTTGGGTGCAGCATGAGTAGGCATTTAATGAAACACCCATTCTATCCTTGGAAAACTTTCCTCACCATTTATGTCAGCAAGAAATGAAGAAAAACCAAGCTAAAAACATTGAGAGAACTCAAGCTGTAATCCGATACTCTTCCCTACCCCACCATCACTTTCACATTGGATAATCACATCCTTATCATATTTCTATTAAAGCTGTTTTGCAATTCTAATGTGAGATTTTTGCTAACATTTATCTTGCTATATTTGGCAAAATTCAGTTCAGCAACAGCCTTATTTGGAATAGTAAATAAATACATTTGTATTTTATATCATGTGTTTGGATTTCTAACTGTATTAGACATACTGATTGAACAGCAAAAGAATACAAGAGAAAAGCAGATATATACAGTTTCTCTCAGTACAATGTTTCACTTAGACCATAAAGAGAATACCACTAGTATTTTAATGCAGACTTGTTGCACACATGGTGCAGATGACACAGTGGGAAGGATACACAGATTAACTTTTTGCTGCTCTAGTGTAGGAGTCATGCAGCTCCTCCAATCATTTGTACTATCCTCAGAGGACCCAGTGGATGGCAGAAGGCTGTGGTAAAGCTGACCTCACATGTGAGGAATGAGAATGCACACCTGAACCATTAGTGGCAGTTACCTGAAAAAAATCTGATTTTATAATAGAAGGTTTTCTAAAAGAGAGTTTGATGCACCACTGTGTTTTTAGTGGCCTCTATTCATTCAACATACCCTAATCAGTAATGGCTAAACAAAATACCTGACTTTGTGCTGCTATTTGAAATTTTAAAGTGAATTGTGAGTAGGGAACATTGATCACTGGTACTGAAAAGACTAATGATCCATTCAAGCACCTCACAGTAGTGACCCACAGAATGTAAAACACAACCCTTAATGCCTGTTTATAAAAATGCAAATGTCCTTTACATGTCTTGTGAATATTCAAAAGCAGTTCAAGTATTAATATCCAATACAGAGTTTGGGAGAGAGAAAATCCTCTGTTTGAGAGAGAGGAAATAAAACAAAAAAAGCCCAAAAAATCCTTTACAGAAATGCCACACACAACTTACCTTGTAGATTTTGCAATGGCAAAGTCATGATGCCTCCTGCTGCAGCTGCTGCTACCAGCCCTTGGATGTTGGTGAGATTAGCCGTAGGGAGAGTCAGGACCAGTCCTTGTTGGCCACCCAGCTGTCCAGCCATGTTGAAGGGAATAAGGATGGGCTGATTGAGGGCCGGCGTGCCGCCCGGCATCACCCCTGCCACCGCCGAGGCCAGCTGCTGGGCTGTCAGTAGTGGCTGCAAGGAAACACACGGAGTGAGCACCCTTTCCCGGGCCTGCCTCAGCACCCCGTGCCTCTCCTGCTCGCGACCCTGCAGCGCTGCAGTGCAGACGTGCAATCACGATGCACGGATCCACCTATCCCCGGCATCTTCCAGGATCTCAAAGTGTAACTTTCAGCGACACAAAATGCTCTGACAAATTTGGTATACCAAAATTGGAAGCCTGATTGTCCTGTAGCACGGGAGCAATTCCAGTTGACTCTAGAGTGGACAGTCCACGACACATGCATCAAAGATATTTATCAACACAAGGAGGCCTCCTGATTCAAATCAGCCTACAAGTACCTGCAACATTTCCCATTTTTTCCCACTTGTATATTAGTAAGTCTTAAAAACACCATAGTGACAACTGCCAGCAGCTTATGTGGACTGTATGCAGACTGTACCATGAACTGAGTTCAAACATTAAGTATTTCTCAGGCTATGGTGATGGTTGCTTTTAAAATTTCATATAGGGCCATACTATAATGCCCACATTTTTCTGCAAAGAAAATAAATACCTGGCATAACAGATAAATGAAATGCTTTTACTAAGGCAGGAGCTATACTTGACATGCAGAGTTGTCAGTCAATAAGGATGCATTAAAATTGCACTAGCTTTTTAATATTAAATCACAACCTGTATTTCAAAAATCACTTATAGAAAAAGTTCAAACAATTTAACCTCCTAAGTATGCCAAAACAAGCACAGAAGAAAGCTAATCTTTCCAAACAAATGCCTTTCAAAACATAAACATGGCACATGGATACGACCTTTTCACAACCTCGAAATGTAGCCAAACACCTCAGAATCACGTTTGCTACATTACACAGAAAAATTGTGATCATTTATGATTATTTACTTTTCATCAAACTATATGTTTCAGTTAGTCTAAAGGAAAGATACTGACCTGGGGCCCGACGGGGAAAGCAGGGTGGGACTGACTGGGTTGGTGTTGGTCGGCTGTGCTCGTATCAGACAGCACTGCGTTTCCTCTGGCCTCTGGAATTCAAAGAGAAAGTCTACCTTAATATCAAGCCTGGGGACCGGCACATTGCTTTTGACTGTGATGTCACATAACATCAAGCTGAAAATGATATGCTAAAGTGCTTTATCAATAACTCAAGCACTCAAATCACTTATCAGCTGCATAAATTATGCTAACATTCATTCAGACCAGCCAACTCATTCAAGGAGATACGAAAACCTGACAGCACTGAAACTGAAGCTATCATCAACCCAGCTAATGTGGGCTGCATTACACATCAATTTACATAGAGTACATGAGCGCTCCGCGTGTGTGGGAACTGCGTTCTTTATGCTTAGGTGAGCATCAGCCATTCTAATTCCTGAAAGCAAAAATTATCTGGAAAACAATCAAGTCGCCACTGCTTTGTGTCTTAATAAAGTCTTTTCTTAGGCCACTTACTGAGGCAAGAATAAGGCACGGTAAAGGACGCTAGGCACAATAAAAGGCACTATGTGAACTGAAAATAAGTACTCCTTCAAATGACAGCTACTTTCCTGGTCTTCTAAAGCAGAGGGGAAGCAAAATTCTGCAAAACCAAGGCTTTTCAGTATTTATTGAGATGATGAATATCCAACATGATTTATATGCTGGCACCAATGCCTTGCTAAGTACAGAATATAACCCACTACATTTTGCTGAAGCCTGCAAAGCTATTTTTTTAAGAAAAGGAAAGGGATCCTATCAGGTTCAAGAAAGCACCAAGTTGTTTTCAAACGTATGACCAGATCTCCAGCCTCTCCTGTGGAAGGACTCATTGACTCATAAACTTTTTCAAAACTGATGGCAATTTTTTTCAACACATGAGGACACATCTATCTTTGAAGCTGAAGGAATGACAATAAGCATTAAAAGTAGCTGTAGTAGGAAAGGAAAATCCTAGCTACAATTTCAGGTTTTCTGGTTAGTCCAATAGCTTTTGCTCCATTAACTTGTTAGGGTTTTTTTTTTTTTTTTCTGATCCGTGGTTGAAATCTAATTCAAGGTAAACCTTAACAAGATCCCCTTTTCCAATGTTTGTCCTATGAATAGCAAGTGCTAGACAATTCCCAACTAGTTTATTGGCAAGCCATGGTGTGCTAGAGTAAAAGGATATGATTCTGTCATACTTATAAATTTTAAAGAGGGTATTATCAGCTCATTTAAAACAAATTCTTCTATATATTCTCCAAGGGGACAGACTTATAAATAATGAAAATGTGAAAAAAATACTTCAGCACATTAAGGTACAAATAAAATTGACTGCTACATATTATTCAATTGACTTCTATCTCTACAGCAAAGTGTCAATCATAACAGCATTTTAGAATGGTATTAAACAATAAATGTGCAGAGCTATTATGCAGAAATCTGAAAATCTGATTAATTTGTAATATTTTGGTGTGCTCTCCGAGAGTCAGAAACGGACGTTGCTTTGGGAATGCTTACAAACCCTCTATTGAAATTTCTAAATTGATTTGGAACTAATAAAACATACAGACTCGCTGACATTTTATAAAGTGAATTCCATCAAAATGTTTGGCATTTTATTGACTACTGTCATTTAATAATGAGAATAAGAGGACCTATTATAATTGGCGAGGACTCCACCACTGCCTAACATGGGAGACCCAGTCACTACATTTTTTATGTGTGATTTACTCATCTGAGATACTTGAAAAGCAAGAAATGTAACTAGAGATGCAAGGTTCAGTGAAAGCTGTTTCTTTCAAATGCCTTGCAATCCTAGCAGGATTGCTGCCATCAAACAAACCAAACCTAGGTTTGCTTCTGTATGGTTTCCTCCTATACAAAACATGGTTCTACATTACTGAACAAAAGTTTACCTTAGGTAATTTCCACATATCATTGTGCTATTTTTTTAAAACCGTCTTATCACAGTGGTATGTATAAAGTGATATTACAAAAAAGATTCAATACCAATGAATATATCACTTCCCATTAAAATCAAACCTTCTAAATCAATTTTTAAATGTAATTTTAAGGGCTCAGAATTTTGTCTTAGCAGATGATTTAGTTAATATTAAAATAAGCTCCTAATAACCTGTCAGATCATTAAATTGTCCTATAAAAGGTTCGAGTGAAGTGAAAAGCAGGAGTGAAATAGTTGACTAGAATTTGATTTTCCTGCAATTAATATAGCCTGATCTCTCAGTAAATAATCAAAAAACCTCAAAGAAATATGCCTTGCTTTGGCATTTGTTTCATGGCATAAGATATCCCCAAACCCACTGTTTTCTATTATCTGTGCCCTAAGGATTTTGCAGTATTTCATCTCACAAGCTGTGTGTTGTACAAGTGGGTTATGCAGGCCCATTAAACTAAAATTAATTATATTCCTTTCCTTTTGCATTGTACTAATTGGAATCACTTAGGATTACATTCCTTTCATATGGTCCCTGATTGAAGATGATATATCTTTTTATTCAAGTGCTTGAACGCTCTGCCTGCTTCTTCCAGCTCACTTTCAATGCGACACAGGCATTTTAGTAAAGGAGCACGCAATTTCACACATATGAATGTGGTCCTACATGGCTCCCTACATGACATTATGCATGCTGGATCCTCAGAATTGAATTCGCACCTTTCCTCTTGTGTCCACATCTTTCTTTCTCATAAATTTACCAGGGGTATTTAGGCCCCGTCTGATCTACCTGCTGTAACAGGCGCTCCGGTGTCCAATTTTTTCCAGACGTAGAGGAAAGCGGGCAGGCTGCCGCGGGCTGGCAGTAGACGCGGCGAGGCACAGATGCCAGCACTCGGTGCGGCTGCGCACACGCGCTCACCGTATTTGCGCCTTGCTGCGCGCTGCTGCCTTCAGCAGAAGGGGCAGGACAAGGCTTCGCGCACGCCGAAGCCCGGCACGAAGCAGGGGGTGAAGGCCACCTGTCCTCTTCTACCCCATCGAGTCAGCAGGGGGGGACTCTCCTGAGTTTGGAACATCCCGAAAGTTGAGAGCACCCTGTGCTACCTCTGTTATGTCTGGTTTGCAGGCACGTTGTTACCAGTTTGGAAAAAGCCTTCATTAGGCCCATTCTCCAGGCTTGGCAGTGTGTGATCCCCTTTGTTTTTCCGTCTTGGTTGTACTGCCTTGATGTGGGAGCTCATTCATTCCAGATGCTGCAATGACCTTTGTACGTAAATTATTCCATTGCCTAAATTCCACTATTCACACAGGAAAAAAAAAGGGCTGTCAAAATCTAGCCTCAATTTTCCCCTTGCACAGACTCCTGGTAAGATGCCTCCCCATGCCATCGAGCTTTCTCACAGCTACGGGGATTCCAGTATGGAAAAACAGGACTCCGCAACCTCTGCAGAGCTGGGGAGGTACCAGCAGCACCTCCACCATCACCCTTGAGTATGTTCTTGAGAGACTCTGCTCACATTACAGCTGTGATTCCTGGTTCATCTGGGGCAGGGAGAATGGGGCAGCTGCTCTGAAAACAGCGGTACCTTCTGGAGCCAAGACTTCCCTTGGAAGTGAGCGCTGCCATCACAGCCTAAGTCAAAAAGCTTGCTCAGTAGTACTCTACGAGCAGCAGTGCTACTGCCGTAGCACATGTAGCCAAGGTTTTAATATTTAATAAGTAGCATTAATCATATGCGATTCACCATAAATTAATTATAAATTATATAATATATACGCTCACCTCTCATCCCACCAAGGAGCTGGGAGGGCATGACACAATAAAAAATTGAAGTGCGCTGTAAACACTGTAAAATAACCCCCCTAAAATGAAATATTATTTTTAAAAAACTAAGTAAAACAAAGGCAACCTTCTTCTCCCATTTCCAAAAAAGCTCCCATCCAAAAAAAAAAAAAAAGAAGTTTTACAGTATGTGGTTTGAAAAATGAACAAAAACACAAGAGGGGTAACTGAAGGAAAAAAAAAATCACATCCCGAGGGCTCCTAATCTCATGAGAATTAAGACTACAAATGCACTGATTACAAAGAGGCTTTCCACAGTTTAGCACATTCTGCTATGTACATCCTTTCAGCAAGACAGATAATTCCCTTCGACGTGTCTGTACCCCACAGCGCCCCACAAAAGGAGGGCTGCTCTAATCCCTGCTCTGCAGGTGAGCAACTAATGGACACAGGGACTGAGATCCAGATCTTCAAACCAGCCTAATTTAGGCACCTCTCTCTTTTCGGCTGTAGCAACATTGTCCAGGAAAGCTGGGGTGAAAACCCAAGCAACCCGCACAGGAACACACTGCCCGTGCTGTTGCTTCTTGGCGCACACAATGACCTGCTCTTGCAGGGGGCTTAAAGCTCATGGGCAACTGTGACCTTGCTGAAAATCATCACAGGATATACAAAAGTGTAAGTTAAACACTTAACTAGGCTGGCCTAGACCTCTTGCTTCCTGCAGAGATCTTTGCCTGTGCCCACACCAAGGAACACCGGCTCCCAAACGGCCTCCTCCCAAACTCTGCTCTAAAAGCTCACCCAGAGGTGACACTTCAGCGCGAGGCTGAGTCTGAACCTGAGCATCAGGCTGTGCTTGAACCTCAGCATGGAACAGGCCTCAGCGGGGGAGCTACATACTTAACTTCTTCATGGTCGTCAAGAAAAGAATTCAACATCTTTTAAGCAAATATTATAAATGAATCAACTTAGAAGAAGCTAGCATTTCAAGTAGCAGTTCATATTAGAAAACTTAGATTCAGTTCTTCAGTGTGATCCATTTGTTGTAATCATCTTTAAGCAACTGCAACAATAAGAAATCAAGACCAGATTTTTCCCTTTACTCTTTCATCCAACTCACATTAAAGATACAGCTTTAAGAATCAAAACATGAAGGTAAAAATACTATCTGTAAGAAAAATAGGCTTAGATTTTTAAAAACAGTAAACTCACTGTCTGAGCATATAATAGAGGCACAGTTAGATCATAAACACTCTTACTAGGAAGGAAAAGACAACTTCTTAAAAAAAAAGCAAATACACCGACTGGTAATACTCAAATTA